TTCTGGGCTTATCCTCTTGCACATGGGCAGTTAACTTGATCTATTAGACCCTTCCATTCTTTTCTCTGAGCCATCATTATCACAGTCTATTCCACAGAGAGTTTATTCTCATTTCCTTTTAAAGTCTCCTCTTCTGTTTCTTGTCACATTAACTTCAGAAATATCTAAATTTCTTCCACAACCCTATCTTTAAAATAGACTTACTTCCATAGTATCTAATATATATTACCTTTTACATTCTTGTGCTTGACAATCAGCAACCAGAATGACTCAGAGAACATCTATTCCATTTGGACCTATGCTGTCTATGCAAAATGTTCTATTGAATCACTGTTGAAGGAAACACAGGAGCTACATTTCAGATTGTTGCAGTGACTTAGAAGTGTTCAGATCTAAACCATTTAAGAATATTTTTCAGTTGCTTGTGTGAACCTAGCTAAAGACACCATCAGTCCTTCAGATTCCAAAACTCATTATTCTCCATCAATTTATTCTTCTCTTTATCATTTCCCCATTTTTTTTTCTCTCCAAAAATACCACTGAGTTTATTTTATAACAGTGTGTTTCTCGTTATGGGGCCTATACTTAAATGTGGTTTATATACCTAATGAGGCTCCACTGGAAAAGACTAACTTTTTCTTCGCAAGAGCTATTGTCGTGTAGATAGTTTTCATGGTTAGGAATGGGAGTTCAGGTCCACTTCCCCACATCAATGCTGAGATCCCATCTGACCATGCAGGCTATGCGCACACTGCCTCGGTCCCCGGGTGCTCATGTGATCAGTCCTGCTGTACCTGGAAGATGCTGTTTACTTGGTGTTATCTGTCTTCTCTTACAATCTCTCCTCGTCTGCATTGTCCTGAGCCTTGACCAAAAAGGTTGTACAAAGGCTTCCATTTTGAACAGGTTTTGTTTTTTTTTTTTTTTTTCTTCTTCTGATTTTTTATTGCCTTATCTAACAGAAGCTTCAATAAAGTTCACAACTACACTTTTTTTCAGGAGGTTTTTCTAATATCATACATATGGATTCGCTGAAGACACACACACACACCGTCACACTAAAATCCCATTTCCTTCATCTACTCTGAAACAATCCTGTCCTAATAAGACTTTCTAACATTAGTTTCAAACTTTTATATCACATCCAATAAAACTATTTTTTCTTGACTCTTATTCTTTTTCCAAATTTCCTATTTTAAAATTTCATCTCTCTGAAGATTTATCGATTCACTTTACTCTCACTGTGTTTAATTTTGTAATAGCCAAATCATTATATTTATTAAAATTTCTATTGTATGAACATTTGGATTTCATTCTGCTATACTTTTTGATTAGCTTTATGCCTTTTGTATAATCATATAATTAATAAATTATATTTTGACCAAAAACAGTAGATAAATATAAATGCATATGCATAGACACTATGAACACATATGCTATCTAGAACCACCTATATATCTTAGAAATAATAAAATATCAGTTAGGACATAGATAGTTTCCCTATATGCTACTTAAAGTAGCCATGAGTCTTTGGAAAAGCAATTGATTAAGGACCAAAAAGGACAAAGAACAGGTGACTGTGGAGCATTTTGTGCAGGTCCTGTGCATGCTGCCACAGTCTTTCTGAGTTCCTATGTGCATCTAAACTGCTTTGCTTAGAGGGATGTGTTTCTCTTTCAAAGTTTAAACTATACTGAAATACTAATCAGACGATCTTCTAGCAAACATAATAATAATTAATTTATGTAGAATTATGATATATGATAAAATAGTGAACTATAACTAGAAGTAGAAAATTTACTTAAAATAGTTTCAAGGTAACTATTTCTCCTTTGTAACACATGTAGTTAGGTACTTATTTGTTATACTAAATTGACTTTAAATATATTTTAGTAAAGATTAAGATTTTTCTTCCATACCCTATTATACCTATTATTATATAAATATTTAACAAGTTCTCACTACATGAATATCAATCATTTACTTCAAAATATGTGGGTGCCTTGTACCTAGCCAATATTTGTGTACTTGGAATTTATGACACCAAACATCTCAGCCTTGTATGCAAAAGAAAGAGACAAAGCCATTTAAATAAATATTTATATTAAAAAATATCCCTGACCCTCAAGCTAGCTATGAAGGACATTGAACAGTGTGGTTAAATAAATAGTGTGATTAGTATGTGGGCCAGACAAGAGAATTTTGACTTAGATCTATTGATCCCAAAAGACTTAAGCTACAAAATAAATGGCCAGCTTGGGTTGGCTGCTGGAAGTTCTAATCACTTTATTTCAGTCACTGTTAAGAACATAGATATCCTTCAATGGCCGGCTCTTTGGTCACCTCCCCCTCATGGGAGGAGACCAGCCTTGCCAGGCCACAGAGGAAGACAATGCAGACAGTCCTGATGACCTGATAGGCTAGGGTCAGATGGAAGGGGACGAGGACCTTCCCTATCAGTGGACATGGAGAAGGGCATGGGAGGAGATGAGGGAAGGAGAATGGGATTGGGAGCAGACAAGAGAGAGGGGGTACAGCTGAGAGATACAAAGTGAATAAATTGTAATTAATAAAAAAATTTAAAAAGAAAAAAACACAAACAAAAAAGAACATAGATACATGAAAAATTAAAGGAAAATATTGGTGTGTTAAAGGACAAGGGAAGAAATAAAGGAAATGTTAAAAACAAAAGGTGAATGAAGTAAAACACATATAAAAACAATAACAATATAAATAGGGACAATTTATTGGGAACATGCAAGGTAATTTTTAAATAAGTTTTTTAACCTTATGAAGAATTTATTTATTGTGCAATAGTTTCTAAAGTGTAGATATAGAACTGTATATATAGTATTGCATTTTTATGAACGGTGTTAAAAATATTGCTCTTGATGGCTTGTGAATTTATTTATTTTTCCTTTTATTGAAAACAGCTTTTTTCCTACATAATATATCCTGAGTACATTTTCCAATCACTCTACTCCTCCCAGTTCTTTTCTAGCAACTTTCTCATCTGGATACAACCTCTCTCTGTTGCTCACTATGTGACAGAGAATTATTTAGGTACAAAATTTTACACTCACCTATGTAGGATAGGTAGTATTCTCTTCAAGGTTGCCAAATACAAATGAGCTAAACATTTTGAATGTAACTTTTACATAGGGCTTCCCTGATTGTTCCACAACTTTTCCTACTGCATGTAGCTTAGTATAAATACTGATGCATTTGGAAAAAAGAAAACAAACAGGCTTCTAAGGGATATTAATAAAATAAAATAAGACAAACAAATCTAACACATTGGAATAGGACAAAGCAAACAAACAACAACAAAGAACAAAAAGAAAAGAAAAATAGTCTAAGAAAAGGCACAAAAACAGATTTAGATGCAGAGACTCATTCATTCACATGATCAGAAATCACATAAAAACACAAAACTAGAAGCCATACTATATACTACATATACACACACACAAACACACATGCATGTTTCTCTATATATGTATATATGTATTAAAATTTAAAAATTGAGATACAGTTTAAAAAAATAATAAAACAAAAATGTGACATGAGAGGAGCCTTGCTAAGCCACAAAGGAGGACATTGCAGCCAGTCCTGATGAGACCTGAAAAGCTAAGGGCAGATGGAAGGGGAAAAGGGCCTCCGCTAGCAGTGGACTTAGAGAAGGGCATGGGAGGAGATGAGGGAGGGTGGATTATGAGGGAATGAGGGAGGGGGATACAGCTGGGATACAAAGTAAATAACCTGTGATTAATATAAAAAATAAAAATTAAAAAAATGTGACGTATCTATGAGACGAAGAACCTTCAAAGATTCCACTGATTTCATTTTGTGTTGGTCATATACTCCTGGGCATGCTGCTTAACACTGAATGTAGTAATGATTTCTTCTATGATTTTGTTTTTTATTTAATGTTTATTTATTATTATTATTTTATTCATTTATTTTATTTTTAATTAATCTATTTATTAATTACAGTTTATTCACTTTGTATCCCAGCCGTAGCCTCCTCCCTTATCCCCTCCCAAACTCACATTCCCTCCCTCATCTCCTCCCATTTCCCTCTCCAAGTCCACCGATAGTGGAGGTCCTCCTCCCCTTCCCTCTGACCCTAGCTTATCAGGTCTCATCAGGCCTGGCTGCATTGTCTTCTTCTGTAGCCTGTTAAGGCTGCTCCCCCTCAGGAAGAGGTGATCAAAGATTCAGCCACTGAGTTCCTGTCAGAGACAGTCTCTGTTTCCATTACTAGGGAACCCACTTGGACACTGAGTTGCCATGGCCTATATCTGTACAGGGGTTCTAGGTTATCTCTATGCATGGTCCTTGGTTGGAGTATCAATCTCAGAAAAGACCCCTGGGTCCAGAATGTTTGGATCTGTTGCTCTCCTTGTGGAGCTCCTGTGCCCTCCAGGTTTTTCTATCTTCCCTTTCTTTCATAAGATTCCCTGCCCAAATTTTGGCTATGAGCCTCAGCAGCTGCTTTGGTACCCTGCTGGGTAGAGTCTTTCACAAGCCCTCTGTGGTAGGCTCCTGTTCTGTTCCCTGTTTTCTCCCTCTTCAGATGTCTGTCTCATTTGTCTTTCTGAGTGGAGATTGATCATCTTATCCAGGGTCCTCTTTGCTTAGCTTCTTTAATTGTACAGATTTTAGTATGTTTATCGTATAGTATATGTCTAATATCCACTTATATGTGAGTATATACCATGTGTGTCTTTCTGCTTCTGGGATACCTCACTGAGGAGGATTTTTTTCTAGTTCTCACTGTTTGCCTGCAAATTTCAGGATTTCCTTGTTTTTTTTTTTTTAATTTATTTATTTTTATTGCTGAATAGTGTTCCATTGAGTAAATGTACCACAATTTCTGTATCCATTCCTCAGCTGAGGAACATCTGGGTTGTTTTCAGATTCTGCCTATTATGAATGAAGTTGTTACGAACATGGTGGAACAAACGTCCTCATTGTATATCTGAATATATTTTAGAAAAAATACGGAATGTTACATGAATTTGCATGTCATCCTTTTACAGGGGCCATGCTAATCTTCTCGGTATTATCCCAATTTTAGTATATGTTCTGCCGAAGTGAGCACTATTTTCTGTATTTTTGACTTTGTTTTTTTTTCTTCTTTCTCTAATCTTGTTCTTAGATTTGGTATTTTCATTTGTTTGTTTTGTCTTGTTTTCTGTGTGTGAATATGTCTTTTGTCGGCTTTGTTTTTAATTTAATTAAATTTAATTTTTTTGTCTAATGTATTAGTTTTTAATTGTGCCTTCAGTGTCTGAGAGTCTCTTTTCTATCTCTTTTGATGGGGAAATTTTCCTCTTACTTTCCTGTTCAAGTTCTAAATTTTTTATTTATAGGTTTCCCTCAATTTGGGTTTTCTCTATTGATTATATTTCTACTTTCGGTTCCTGAACTGTTTTTATGCATTTACCTCCCCGTTTGTTTGTTTGCTCTTTCATATATTTTCTTAATGGGTTTATTCTATTCTTTAAGGATGACTGTCTTATTCATATAGGCTACTTTAAAGTCTTATTTTCTGCTTCTGTTAAGTAGCAATACTGCACTACTGTAATCTGGTCGCTGACCTCTAGGGGCACACAATGTCCTGGCTATTGACTGTTTTTAGTGTTTAGGCATCTGGGCTTGAGAAGATTGCAATTGTAGGCGTTGATATCTGCTCCTGTCTGCTCTTGAGTGGTTGTTTATTTCCTTGCACTCTGTTGTTGTTTCTGGTTCTTACGAGGGTGCGATGCCTGTGTGCTGACTGGAAAGGAATTTCTCTCCGGTCCTTCTAGGTGTTGCCACCAAAGTTTCAGGGTAAAATGCGTTTCTAAGTGTTGGGAGCTGACAATTAGGAATGGGGATGGACTGGGAAGGAAGCGAATGATTGAAAGTAGAGGCATAAAATGGGAGTGCTGAGGAGATCCAGAGGTGGGAGGAAAGCAAGGTCTTCCATCAGGACCTTTTTATTCCCCTGGGAATTGAAGTAAAAGGTGAGGAAAGGCCATAAGAGGTAGTTTGCTACAGAGCTGCAGGTGAGATTGGGAACTCTGATTTTGGGGAGAGGTGGAGAAATGTAGATCTGAAACTTGCCTAACTGGTTGGCTGGGCTGATCTACTTGCTTTTCTGAGAGGCTGACTCAGCTGGTGGCTTCTCAGAGATCCCTTGCTGAAGTTGGGCCTGTTACAGTGATGAGTGGGTGTGGGGAGGGTGCAAGGTGACATCTGTGTCAGCCACTGAAGGTGGGGCAGAGAGGAAAAAGAGGCCAAAGATTTTTGATACAGACCTGGGGGTGAGACTGGGAGATAGGAAATGGAGGAGAGGAAGGAGCAAGAGAACAGTAAAGATCTACAGTTAGCTTACCTGTTTCCTTGGCCATAGTAAAAAATTAGTTTTAATTAAAACTTACAGATGAAAATACTTAGAGTATGGAAAGTATATAGAATTAAAGATATACACAAATAATTATGACTTGTTCAAGTAACAGGAGGTTTTGCTACTAGAGAACAAATATATTTTCATTTGGACATTATGGTAAAGGATCAGGAGTGTTTTCAGCTTTCACAAACAGATGATAGAAGAAGTGAATGACTGACTGACCCTGGATATTTGAATGAGAGGATACTGAGGGGATTAAGACTACTGCCAATACCAGTCTTTTGTAGGAGCTTGGACCAAATGGCAAGAGCACAGTTAGAGTTGAAATTTCAGGAGTTTTTTTTTAATATAAATGATACTTTCCTTATATATTTAATTTTACTATTTGTATATCCTATACTTACAGAGTACACTGTGATAATTTAATAGATGTGTGTAATGTATAAATATCAAACTCGGGAAATAAATATTTTACAGATATGCATGTCAATGTGTCAAGATGCCTGTTTGTGGTTCTGGTCCAAGCACATTTGTGCACTTCTGTATGGAGACAACCTTAAGTATTGTTCCTCAGGAGCCATTAGTGCTGTTTTGGTTGCTGTTTTGGTCCTTTTTAGGTTCTTTTTAGATAAGACCTCACAATAACCATTAGGTGAGGATGGCTGGCCTCTGAAACCCAGGAATTTTACAGTGTTTCAGTAACTAGCATACAGTACCATGCTTGGCTTTAATATTTTTACATGGCCTCTGGGGTTAGATCTCAAAGTTGGACTGTGTGCATTGGAAGCTTTTTACCAAGTGAGACACCTCCTTGGTCCTATAAGTTCTACTGTAATAATACTTCATTTCCTTAGCATATATAATTGAATATGCATATATTATTAGATTATAACATAGCAAAAAAAAACATGCTTTTTAATTTTTTGTATGTTTCTGTTGGAAGGGGTATGCACAGGAGAGAAGGTATCCAAGAGGCTGGGGGAAGGTGTGAAATCCACCTGAGCTGGATTTAACTGGAAGTTGTGGGCCACCTGACAGATATATTGTCATCAGAAGTTAGGTACTTTTTAAGAGCAGCAAGTACTCTTAATCACTGAATCATCTTTCCAGACTCTAACATATGTTTTGATGTACAATGCATCACAATTGAAAGATTCTATTTTTAATTAATCTCCAAAAGTCAATATTTACTTAAAAATTATTTTTGTACGAAACAATGCATTGTATATTATTTCAGTTACAGGTAAAGATTTTGAAAAGTAATTTCAGTTATTGATGATTTTTTTAAAATTACCACTCTAAATAAAAATGAATCATAGATACAAGAGTACCATGTATTTAGGAACTTTTTCCCCAGCACTTTTACAGCCTTAACACAAATCACAGCCAGGATTCAGACACGACTTTACAAGTATTTTCTCTGAAGGCCCATTGGTTGAATTTCGGTAGGTAATGGTCTGTAAAAGGAAAGCCAATTTGCCCCTCGATGGAGATTACTGTACCAAATGTACCAGAGAGCTTTAGAAAATGTGACACGCTTTCTATTCAACAGTGAAAGAGTCGATTAGTTTCCTAGCTTTCCTTTTTTGTGCAATGGAAATAGGTCTTGCTTGTTAATTCTCTTTAATCTCCCACATCACTTTTCTTGTATTGTTTCTTATTTATAAATCTGTACAGTTATAGTTAATATAAAGTGTATGGTTTCACATGTTGAAAAGTTCTGATTCGTTGTAAAACAATATTGTGTGGGTTACACTCTTTTAAATTAAATTGATTACAAATGTAAGAAACGTTTTTCCTTAAAGGAGAAGGGATTATTTTCAGCATTTCAAATTAATCATTACTAACTGGCAAAGCGTTATGTTCTACACTACCATGTCTTGAAAATTACATAATTATGATATGTCTTTGCATAAAGTTTGTATGTAAGAAGATTTAGACTTAAATTTAATGTATTTGTCCTAGAAAATACATAAGTAAAATATATAATCGTGATGTATATTAACATGTCTATGACCCAGAGTCAAGTGAGATTTAATTTATTGTTTGTAATTGATTACATATTTCTTTTTTTCCTTTCTTTTTTTTTTTAAAGATTTTATTTATTTCATATGTGAGTGCTCTATCTGCATGTATGCCAGTATAGATGGTTGTGAGCCACCACGTGCTTGCTGGGAATTGCACTCAAGACCTCGGGAAGAGCAGACAGTGCTCTTACCAGCTGAGCCATCTCTCCAGCCCATTTGATTTCATATTTCAACACATTTATTTTTTAACTATATTTGAGACTGTTGCCAAATATAATTATAGAAGTAAGTGTAAAGATGAATTGTCAACCCTTAGGAGGTAGACACAGGCAGACATCTTTGAATTAGAGGCCATTTTTGCCTACTTAATAGTTCAAAACCAGCTAAGATAAAATATTAGCTTCAAAATTAACAAAAAAACAAAGAAGAAATAAGCAATTATAAGGGATTTTGGAATGATTCAGTACTTAAGAACCTTTCTGTTTTTGCTGATGACCCAAGTCCAGTGCCCAGAATTTACTTTAGACATCTCACAATTGTTCTTATCACCATTTTTCAGAGTTAAGATGCTGCTTTCTACTGTAGCCTGGTAAGGCTGCTCCCCCCCTCAGGAGGAGATGATCAAAGAGCAGGCCAATCAGATTATGTCAGAGGCAGTCCCTCTTCCCATTACTATGTAACCCACTTGGACACTGAACTGCCATGAGCTACATCTGTGAAGGGGTTCTAGGTTATCTCCATGAATAGTCCTTGGTTGGAGTATGAGTCTCTGGGAAGTTCCCTGTGTTCAAATTTTCTTGTTCTGTTGCTCTCCTTGTGGAGACCCTGTCTTCTCCAGCTCTTACTATTTCCCACTTCTTACATAAAATTCCATTCACTCTGCCCACCAGTTCGCCATCAGGCTCAGCATCTGCTTTGATAAGTCTGCAGCGCAGAGGCTTTCAGAGGCCCTCTGTGGTAGAATCCTAGTTTGTTTCCTGTTTTCTTCTTCTGGCTTTCAGAAGCCCTCTGTAGAAGGTTCCTAGGTTGTTTCCTGTTTTCTTCTTCTTCTGATGTCCATTCTCTTTGCCTTTCAGGATGGGGATTTTTAGGTAGGGTTTTAGGTAGGGTCCTCTCTCTTGCTTAGTTTCTTTAGATGCACAGATTTTAGTGGGTTTGTCCTATGTTGTATGTCTATATGAGTGAGTATATACCGTGTGTGTCTTTTTGCTTCTGGGACAACTCACTCAGGATGATCCTTTCCAGGTCCCACCATTTACCTGCAAATTTCATGATTTCCTTATTTTTCATTGCTGAGTAATATTCCATTGTACAGTAGAGGACAATGCAGGCACTTTTGATGAGAACTGATAGACTAAGATCAGAAAGGAGAGGAGAACCTCCCCTATCAGTGGATGTGGGGAGTGGCATGCATGCAGAAAGGGGAGGGAGGGTGGGATCAGGAGGGGAGGAGGAAGGGGCTTATGGGGGGATACAAAATGAATAAAGTGTAATTAATAAAAAATTTAAGAAAAGATGCTGCTTTCAAGTATCCAACAACATTCAAAGTTATACACACACACATGCAGACATTCAAACACACATTCAACCACACATAAGCAGACACAGACACACACACACACCAGACATATACATGAATCAAAATTAAAAAATAAGCATTTAAAAAGCAAAAGTACAGAA